TGATTACAATACAATACGATAGAATATATGAATTGTAGAAATACAAATTTTTTATTAAAAATGTGTACAAATTACGAAAAATCTCCGGAAAAAAACTTACATGCATGATAGCTAAGCTAGTTAACATAAGTAGTAACCCTTAACCTAGCTGATGACCCTAATGCAATTATCAATGTGGTTAAATAAATTAAGGGGAACATGTGTTATATAACGGGTGGAGGATATGAAATTGAAATGTGATGAAGGTTGATGATGAATGATGCACCTGTTTGAGCTGGGAGGCATAGAGCTCTCCGGCAAGAACTTTTTCTCCGAACAACGCAACGGCCTCTTTGACAGAGCGGAAGGGTCGCCTCGTATCAATCTCCGCCCTCCTTGTCCTCGTCGTTTGCATTCCTCCTCCTCTTCCTCCTCCTACTTCTTTCTCCATGTTCACTTTGGAAAATGTTGCACTCCTAGGGTTGAAAGAATGAAAGGAAAGAATGTGTTTTTTATTTGGACTAGTAGTACTTGAGAGAGAGAGAGAGAGAGAGAGAGAGAGAGAGAGAGAGAGAGATGGGGTGGTTGGTTAGATTGACAGCTTACAAGTGAGGGGGAGAGAGAGGGACTCACAGTGGGAGGGAGGGTGTTATAGGAGGGACTGGGGAGGTTGAATTCGTTTCTTCGCGTCCACTTCACTAGATATCTGTTAATATCTGTGAATGCGAAAGGCGGTGGGTGGGTGGCTCCGTGGACTTCGGCAATAGAGAGGGACTCTTCGCCAAATGCCCCAACACACCCACACCAACAGAACAAACTCCACCAATTCCAACCCAACTCTTCTAGTATTGGGCTTGCCTACCAACATGGACTACAATCCACAAGTAGTAGTAGCGTTTACATATTCTGATGCTTTACTGCGACATTCCAGACTAATGACTCTGTCATGTAAAAATATAAAAATACATAACATCGTATTAACTGTTTAGCGAATAACGTGTGGAATCCCTTCTCCCATATAGCACCCAATGAATCTCCCTTTTAGCACCCAATGAACAGATTAGAGGGTACACATGAACAGTAATTTATCAAATCTGATCGGCAGCCACAACTCAAGGTTGATGAAAATTTGAGAATTTCAAAAGGATAATAATTAAGCCAATAATTAAACGGTTTGGGATGAGAATCATCGATCACTATCAACTAATCATTATCAATAACCATATTAACAAGATCTTAAGCTTGGCCAGATTCCTCTTCATTTACCTTGTGTTTTACAAAAAATAATATTTGATGGGACGGGAGAACATATAAAAAGGAAATGCTGGCGGTCCAAGTCACGGTAAGCATATTAGGACAGGATATATACTAAAAAACTGTGAAAAAACATGTTGCAAGCATTCCGATTTCGACCTAACAGCACCAAGCACAGATCGTTGTTGCGTCTGGCATCCACAAGTCCACATTGTTTTATCAGTCCAGTCCCAATTGTTGTCCAAACACTCATCTTAATCACAAATTTCACGATATTTTAAATTTTTCTAATTAATAGATGAAGAGTTAAATTTAAATAAAGTTACGCTATCTGATTAAGTAACTTAAATTGAGCTTTTAAGTGGTGGATTGTGTGGGTAAATAAGCTCCTCTTGTAATGTAGATTAGAGTAGTATTATCGTGGTGACGACTTAATTATTGATTGCTGTTAAGTTAGTTAGTTGTTTTGCTAGCCGAAAACTGTTGGGAACATTTTGCAAGTTGCAAACTTTCAAATACCTAGAAAATATTACAAGATAAATTTTCTTTCATAATCTAAATTCAGACAATCAAATTTCAGTAATAACATGTGTAACGAAATTTGCTTTTTTGGATATCCAAAAAACCTAGTGAAATCGCTAGCAAGCATTTTGATAACCGAGAAACTCTAGTGAAATCATTAGTAAGAATTTTGATTTCTCAAGTAATTGTTTTGAGCTTTTAGAATATAGAATATTTACTGAGTGTAGTATGAGTAATTGGTTTAAAATCCTCATTCTGCCATTCATTTTATGAGTTGTTAATAAATTATTGTGTGATTCTAAGATGGACCGACAACAAAATCTAATAATTTTATATGAGTAAATTAGTTATACGACATGATGACGGTATTTCAGTATCACACAAAACTCGAACTATTCAAATTAGCCGTTGGATGTTTACGTTGACCAAGGCCGTTACCCGAGTTACGCCAGCTACCTCTCCCTCTTCCTCCTCTCTTACCCGCCCCGCTACTCATTGGAACTCCGAAACGACATCGCACAAAGAAACCAAAAGGAAATAAAAAGTTGGTAGCTTTCGTCCCGAAGTTTGGGGTTCCTCTGCTGTTAATTTCTCTTCAATTTTGCTTCGACAATGGTACTCCTCTCTAAACATTTCCAGTATTATTTGATTGGATTTCAAATTCTGACCCGATCCGATTCGTATGGCAGATCCGATTCATACTGTTACAGAACCGGCAGGGAAAGACCCGGTTAGCCAAGTACTACGTTCCTCTCGAGGATTCTGAGAAACACAAGGTCGAATACGAGGTATGATCCACACCTAATTCCCCTTTATTTCAATTGATATTAAATTTTTAATTGTAATTTGCGCTTCAAGTTTCGAAATTTCTAGGGTTTTTGAATTCGATGATATTTGCAGGTTCATCGTTTGGTGGTCAACAGAGATCCCAAGTTCACAAATTTCGTCGAGGTTTGTAATTTAATTTTTTTTTTGGTTGGGATTTTTTTAAATAGTTTGGTTAAACCAAAGATTTAATTTTCTAAATTAATTTGCAGTTCCGTACACACAAGGTTATATACAGGAGATATGCAGGGTTGTTTTTCTCACTGTGTGTTGATATAACTGACAATGAATTGGCATACTTGGAATGCATTCATCTGTTCGTTGAAATTTTGGATCATTTTTTCAGCAATGTTTGCGAGCTCGATTTGGTCTTTAACTTTCACAAGGTCCGTTGCTTGTTCTCGCCTTCGTTTTGATGTGCTTATCTTCTTTCGTATTTAGTTCCCGAGGTAGTAGTAGTCACCCCGCGCTGATTATATTCACGAAACTTAACTTGGATAGTGGTAGGAGTAGATATATATGAAATAATGAATCGGCCATACTAATGGAAGCCGTTCATTTTTGCGAATTCAAGCCCGTTGTTTTCTCCTCCAACATTATACCATACCTTGCGGTTTTCTCTCTGTCAGTTGATGTTAGGCGGTAACCAAGTCAGGCTGCATGATAGATGCCAGTACCTAAAGTTGTAATACCTTGGTGTTGCAGAGTTTCTTCTCCGCTCGTGAGTATATATGAGTGTGGTTGTTTGTTATCTTACTGATTAATGTTTTCCGTTTTCATTTATGGAAGGTCTATCTGATACTTGATGAGTTCATTCTTGCTGGAGAGCTCCAAGAAACAAGCAAGAAGGTAAGACCATGAGAATGTCTACGAATTATTTTGTTGTGAAGTTTTGTCATCAATGTAGCTTTTCTTCTGTTTCTCCTGCGTTTGCGTTTGTATGCTGTTAGAATGGGGACGGCAACAGAAACCTTGGTTTTTCGTTATCCATTTTGGTCCGGGGACCCTTTGATCTGATTTATCGTTAATCATCATGTATCAGGATTTTGTGAGAGAAAGTCTGTGCCTTTCTTTGCCCCTCACGGGTCTTCTCGTTCTTTCCCCACTAGCTTTTGTCTTGTTTTGTGTAGTACACCAAGAAACCAAAATCCTCACTCCAACTTGGCTACATAGCTCTATTTATTTCCCAGTAACTATCTTACTTTTGTGCCTCGTCGTGTTTATACTGATGTTATGTAATCATTGGTATCATTTGTGGTCTGAATTTGGTATATGGTTATCTGCAATGCAAACATACAACATCAAAGATATCTGGTTTCATGAATTTTTTGTTGTTCTTGCAGGCGATAATAGAGAGAATGGGGGAACTCGAAAAACTAGAGTGAAGATTATCCTTGGGTGACAAGTTTTTAGGATTGAAGTATTGGTTCTTTGTTTCTACGGATTGTTTCAGTCAATTCTTGTATCGCCATTCCTTATGTGAATTCCGTTCGGGTAGTAAACCTCAATTGAACTTGAAGGTTTCTCTTTTTCGTATCTCCTTTGTACCCGGTTTATCCCCCATTTTGGCATTTGTGTTTGAAATACATATTCATATAATTGAAGGCATATACACGACCAACGGTATATATTTTTCAGTTTTTCTGTTTCCAGATAGGCACTTTTGTAGTTTACATGGAACAATGGGTATATGTAAGTTAGCAGACAAATCAGTTTTCTTTGACATTGCTTGGAACAGGGGTCGTGTTATGTTGGCTTCGGTTGCTAAGGTGAGAGCTCCCATCCTGCTGTGCGGACCAACGGTATTGCTGAATGCATTTCACGGGGACCTTTCGATCCCTCTTCAGTTCTACAGGTGTTTTAACTTGAATTGTAACAAAGCAATGTTTAACCCCGTGGAAAACTGGACGTTTTCGGGTGAAATCCATTGATTAACCTGCATATTCTTATGTTGTGAGATCAACAATGCGTTACTGATTTGAGATATCGTTGTTGTGGAAGGTAGGTCTCTCTTTTTGAGATTGAAAACGAAATATGCTTTCGAAATCAGATCACGTCCTTTTAGTGCAAGACAACGTTGTACAAACGAAGGGACCTACGAAAGAGACCAAACATCACCAAAAATACCAAAATCTTCCTAAGCTAAATTTTATTCCCCAAGTCTTTTGAAGAGAGTTTTAACGAAACACTTTCGGAACTGTTCATTTTTAACGAAAATAACATTTTTACTCCAAAAAATCACTTCTGATACAATTCACTTACACCACATCTTTGTCCTTTTGATTAAAATTCAAAATTTTCAAGCCATTTTCATTAGTTTTCCTTTCAGATTATTGGCTCTGCTTCGATTTAGAAAAGCTGAAGCCATTTTCCGAAACACAAGCCAAATTTGATCCCCAATGCAATATACGACCGAGTACTTTGTAGAGCACAAACATTTCTAATCTTCTATTATCTTCTTTGTAAAAGATGAACAATGTGCCCCAAATATGTTCATGAAACGATTACTACAAAACCTCAATGGCCTAATAGTCTAGGGCAATTTCCCTACCAGCCGAATGCCCCAGCTTATCAAGCCATGGCCGAAATGGCGGGTGATCATTTATACATGTTCATATCTTATTGAGTCGCGATAAAGTTAAGCAGCAAGTCCCCACTTCTGAACAGAAGAAAGAATGAAATAATTTACGAACCAGCTACTTCCCAATAGAATTTACTAGAGGTGCTCGCTGCAGAGCAACTGCAGTGGCATTGCACTTCCAGCACGAAATCCACCTCCAGATTCCTCGTACACAGAAGGTAGGTGGTGTTCCTGTCTTTTTACCCTGCCGGGAGGAAAAGATGAAGTGACAGCCATTAGCTGTTGTTGAGACAGTGGCGCGTACTTGGGACCAACAAGTTCAAGTGTTGAAGGGGATGGAGACATTAGTCCTTGGCTGCATGGAATCAGCATCATATCCTGCCTTCCATTTTGCCAACCGGGAACATGAACTGCGGGCGCTGAAGTTCCCACCGGCCTGTACTGAGCGGCTAAGTGAGCGGCCCAAAGCCTCTGCTGATGCTGTTGGAGCTGTAGATGTTGCTGTTGAGGTTGCTGCTTTGTCGAGGCAGTGGGGCTTGCTTGAGGACCACAAAATGGGTTGCCATGATAAGGAGATACCTGCATCTGGCCCTACAATTAAGTATTATTTCGTAATTTTAGTACTTTGCATTCAATGTTTATATTCAACACTATTACTATAGGTCTAAAATAGTAAAAGGTCTGCTTAATTTGTCAAAGATGATTAGGATAACTCCCTCTCAACCTTCCCGTTGCGTATAAGATTAAATCCTGGTTCTATTAAAGTGAATCTAAGCTTTACAGAAGAACTGGAATAAAAAGAAAACAATTAAAGGAGAACGGAAAAACCTGCTGCGACAGTGAAGGATTGTTAGGGTGAGCGGAGGAGCTGTACTGAGACGGGGTCAAAGAGAAAGGAATGAGTGTGTGACGTTGCATGAGAGGATGGATATAAGTAGCTTGGGATTGTGATGATGGCTCCATCCCGTTTCTAGATCTGCTAAAACCATTATTACTTTCTGAGCCACCACCTCCAGCTGACAATGACAGGAAATCAATACTCTGCAAGAAATGAGACCAGTGAGAACATCATCAAAACCCTGCGATGAACAAATAGCAATTACAACACTAAGCTTTACCTGCTTTGGTGAAGTGTATGCCCAAGATCCCATAGCGAACTGTGGCTGATCTTGATGGAGTTTTGTCTGCTGCAGTGTACCGTTCTTAGCTTCGGTTGAATTTTTTTCTGAAATAGAAATACCTATACTACCAGTAGAAACAATCCCGTTTAAACCATTGTTCGATTTAGCATTGATATTAACTCCCAGAAAAGTCACTTGTTTTGATCCTTCATGTGGTCTCATTTGATTAGGCTGTAGTTGTAACTTATTTTTACGCTCGGAGTATTGTAAAGCCTGAATTAAGTGACTTATGTAAACATGCGCTGCGCACTTCTTACACGACCTTCTACCATTGAGAACAGTAGTCACCTGTATAGTTGATAGTCCACCATACCCTCAATCAGAAGCTTCACATGGTATTGAAATTTGAGAAGAAAAGAGTGGTGCATATTGAATTGTTAAAATAGCCGATAATCATACAATGGAATCATTAGAAAATTGAAATTCCTCTCTTCACCTTTCCAAAAGACGAACCATTTTGGACCAAAGCTCTCGAGGTAGACAGGGCAGCATCCAGCCAGTGCGGAATTTTAGCAGCAGGAGACCTTGAATGGATAAAAAGCATGAGAAACGGGAAAATACGGAGAAATAAAACTTATCTAGAAAATTTATTCAGGAATGAAGACACTTACTGTGACGATGATGATGGACTATCATTCCTAGCACCATGAGAGAGACTTGAAGACAAGCCAGGCCACAATACTGGACCTTTGAATCAAAGAACCAAAGATTATGTCATCTTGAAGAAATTGATATGTACTGCAATACTAAAACACGGCTTTTCACAAGTGAAAGTGAAATTACAACCAGTAGTGAAGACTTTTCAGCAAACAAGAACCATACCATTTTTCTTGGTTTCCTCCGTATCGTGCGGTACAACTTGACCCCCAACAGTTGTGCTCTGAAGAGTAATCCAAATCTTAAAATCAAACCGATCTCGATCTCACCAAATGATATTTGACTTAGACTTGATGAGTTAATGCTTACCAGCTCCAGTGCTATTACTGGTTTTCTCTCAGGAATTGAGGACAACTCTTGCACAGGCTGCTTTAACCTGCTGGGAGATTAGAAACATGATAATGCTTAAAAACGAAACAGATAGGCGGACACACAAACACACAATGAAATAGAATACAGGGATGGAAGCCAGAATTAAGTTGAAGAGTACCCACCGACTTTCCAGGCTTATATCAGATATGCAAAAGTTGACAGCATTGCTTGTAGCAGGCCTTTCATTGCACCCCTCAACTTTCAGTGACAATGACGAAACATTCAGATTTTGAGGAACTGAATTATCTGAATTTATACTTGATTTCCTGCTGTTAGGTGATTCAGGCTCTTGTTGAGTATTGGGTTTGTTCAAACAATCAACTTGATCATTTTCTTTTGCTAATCTTTCTACATTTGATGGACCAGCGGCCTTGGTAGCTCTCAAGAGGGAGTTCGAACCCGATTTATCATTTCCAACTGCAGCAACCAATTCCACCACATACATTAACAGTCTGGCACAATGGCATATATTTAAGAAAAAGATGATTTCTAAGAAGTGAATTACAAATCAACCTTCAAATGCAGGTGTCAAACTCTCCCTTGACTCTGGCAAAGCCGAAGGATTTGCATCTAACGATTCACAGTCTACTTTACTATTATCATTTGCGTCGTTTCTGGGAAACAGTCCGGCCAAAGCATACAACGTCTCCACAACTTCTTCCTCATCTTTGGTGATTTCTGAGTCTCCTTGTTTCTTCACAAGTAATTTCGAGTATATGCATTAGAGTTGCAAACAGAAAAGGCAAACATAACGAAAACATCGAAATAGCAGACAGAGATGACTACCAAGTACGGTTTGGACTTATTTACACCATCCCCTTTCGGAGATTTGATTCCACTCATTGTATGGTTCACCTTCTTTGCATTTGGTAAAGACCGGGCCGGAGATGCAGATTCACGATTGCGTTTCTTCATTGCTGCAAGTGCATAAACAATTTCAAAAAGGTACAAGACATTCATACTTCATACAACAGAATAAAACAGGAACTGTTTCTTTTTTTTTTTTTTTAAATTCCCCAAAATCCGAAAGGGACCCGAATCATTGAAAGCCATTAAAGTATCTCTTTTTTTTTTTTTTTTTTTTGGCAAATTAAAGTATCTCTTTTGGAAAAGTAAAACTACAGAAACAAAGGGAGGGCAAAATCTCAGACCCAAATATAATAAATAATTAATAAAAGTTGAAAGCTTGCCTCCCGAAAAAGAAAGAAAAAGCGGAAAGCTTCGGTTTTGCTTCACTTCAAATCCAGAATTATTATATCTTAAACCAAAGTAAAACAAACTCGAAAAACTCCCCAGAAGACCCACCAAAAAATGGAAAATTTAGCGTTGAAATTAAAAACAAAGATAAAAGAGCAAAATTTTCCACTGTTAATTCAAACCCACATACCTGAGCGGAGCTTCCGTGGAACGGAGGCAAGATCAACGCCATTGCAATCATCAATGAACTGGGGAGGAAAAAAGAAAAATTTAAAACAGAGGAATAATAACACGAATCAAAGATTTTGGGTAATCGATAGAAGTAAGCAAACCTTTCTGGGAAGCTTAAATCTCCTAGTTGGGAGCTCATCGTCTCTGTCAGGCACGTCGCAACCCATTTCGCACACTCGAAAGCTCGTTGTTTTTGCAGTACCAAGAGCACTCAATTTTCTGAGCCTCTCTTTCTTCGTTGATTTTCCAGAGAGAACAAAGTCCCCACCACCATCCAAACCTTCAAAATTTCAGAAGAACAAAATAAATGAACAGCAACTACTCAGAGAAAATAGTGGTGATAATTATAAGGGAAGGAGGCACGCATTATCTGCAAGGCTCTTATCAGAAAGCCACACAGATAAAGACAAGTACCCATCAAGCGGCTTTTGGAATTTTCTCGGCCGTTTTTTGGAATGTTCCCAGCTGAGAAAAAACCAAAATTTCGAAAACGGTGAAACATTTGTTGGGATTTTAGTATTTTACTAGGAAAGAGCTTGGTGGTGGTGTTGCTGGGTCCAGAAGATTGCTTGAAGCGAGTGGCTCCTCCTCCACGTCTCACGTCTCGATGCTTGGTGGCAGGCGGTACTAACATCTGGGATTTGAAGGATTCTGGACCGTCTGATTGAGCTCGAGGAACAGATCCTTCGCCTCTCTGCAAATTTTGAGCTCAGCTCTCTAAAATCTTCAAACTTGGATCGCAGAACGATGAAATGGAAGAAACCCAGGTGAGGAAAACGAAGAGAAAACAGAACCCAGATGCTGGAATGGGGTAATGAGGTGGAGGCAAAGGTGCTGAAGAAGAAAGTGAGCGAGAACAACGTGTAGAGAGAGAAAGAGAGAGCGAGAGTGAGAGGAGAGAGAGAGCTTCGTGTTTAGTTTTTTATTATATTATAATATGTTTCTTTTTGTGGGTATCGATGGCTATTTAGCGAAACGAAAAGGTGGCCGGAAAGAGAACCGAAAAAGTGGGGTTTGGTTTTTATTTTATTTATTATATTTGTTTAGCAAAAACAGAGAAAATCGACGATTTATCAGTTGCTTCGATCGATTGCCAGATATCTCTCCTTTTTTTCTGCGGGAGTGAAGAGAGCTCAGAAAATAAGCAGTAGCATAAACAGAGGAGATTCAGAGAGGAGGATGAGAAGAAAAAGACAAAAGTAAAAGCGATTTGTAAAAAAGCCACTGAAATGCAAAGCACTTCGCTCCCCTCCTCGTGCCCAGAGAATCAGGTTCTTCCTAGGGAGAGAGACGTAAAGGGTAAAGAGAAAAGGAAGAATAAGGGTGTCTGCGACTGAGGAGACCCGTGAGAACAATGTCAAATGGAGAGAGAGGAGAGTTAGATCGCATTTAATTTATTGAAATTTAAAGGAGAAACAATTAATGCTCTCGATTCGATTAGAAACCCAATTTTCTTCCACCCAAACCCACCAAATTAAATCCAACAATTTCTCCCTTTATTTATGATCCGAACCCATTCATTGAATTCATCAGCTTCACCCAAAAGCATTTATGGGGAACGTTGAAACTGAAGGCAAACGAAGAAGCCAAAAAGACCGAAGCTTGAATTTTGGAAAACCAGAGAGAGAGAACAGAGAGACGAAAAGCAGAAAGCCAAACGCAGAAGCCAGAAAGCACGAACTTGCTTCCCAAAAGACGGAAAGACCGAGGCTTTTTTCCATGCTTTCTCTCCCACCTCACGTCATTCCACCATCGACGGCTTACACACACTGTCTATCAGTCTGCGGTCCCCT